TAAATAACGAGGTCGAAGGAGGCCGGCGAATTAATTTTTGAGGATGTCTCGAGCGAAACGATTGTTTTTCAGAATTTCCCGAGGATGTCTCGAGCGAAACGCTGGTTTTGCAGAGTTGAGGATGTCTCGAGCGAAACGCTTGCTCCGCAGAGTTTGCCGAGGATGTCTCGAGCGAAACGCTTGTTTTGCAGAGCCGACCGCGACGCGGAAAAGCGCCCCGCGCGAAGGAATTTCGATGATGTCTCGACTAATTCCTTTGTTTTTGTACGATTTCCTGGAATTTTGGCAGGATGTCTCGAGCGAAATGCACGACCCCACCCTAGCACGACCATACCCAGCACGACCACACCCCAGCACGACCAGACCCCAGCACGACCCCACCCCAGCACGACCCCACCCCAGCACGACCATACCCCAGCACGACCACACCCCAGCACGACCCCCCCAGCACGACCCTACCCCAGCAAGACCACACCCCAGCACGACCACACCCCAGCACGACCTACCACAGCACGACCAGCACGACCAGCCCCAGCACGACCACGCCCCAGCACGACCACGCCCCAGCACGACCACGCCCCAGCACGACCACCCCCCAGCACGACCACCCCCAGCACGACCACCCCCCAGCACGACCACACCCCAGCACGACCACTCCCCAGCACGACCACACCCCAGCACGACCACACCCCAGCACGACCACACCAGTCGCACCCCCGTGGAATGTTTCGTGGCGTGTCTGGTTGAGTGGTTGCCTGTTCGTGGGGTGTCTCGTGGAATGTTTCACGGGGTGTCTCGTGGAATGTTTCGTGAGGTGTCTCGTGGAATGTTTCGTGAGGTGTCTCGTGGGATGTTTCGCGGGGTGTCTCGTGGGATGTTTCGTGAGATGTCGCCCAGTTGGTTATCGTGAAAACGTGACCATGCTGCACATGTCTTTATCCCTTTCCAGGTTCGTGGGTCCATCATGTTTTTCCCCACCCTGGGCGGCGTTCCACCCATCCAGTACATCGGTTCGTGGCCCCATAGGGAACTCCACCGAAGGCCCCAGTGGTTGCTTTCGCATGCGTTTCCCCCACACTGGGCAGCGCTTCGTAGCCCCATAGGGAGCTCCACCGAAGGCCCCAGTGGTTGCTCTCGCAGGCGTTTCCCCCCACCCTGGGCGGCGCTTCGTGGCGCCATAGGGGGCCCCACCGAAGGCCCCAGTGGTTGCTCTCGCAGGCGTTTCCCCCCACCCTGGGCAGCGCTTCGTAGCCCCATAGGGAGCTCCACCGAAGACCCCGGCGGTTGCTCTCGCAGGCGTTTCCCTCACCCTGGGCAGCGTTTCGTGGCCCCATAGGGAGCTCCACTGAAGGCCCCAGTGGTTGCTCTCGCATGCATTTCCCCCACCCTGGGCGGCGCTTCGTGGCCCCATAGGGAGCTCCACCGAAGACCCCGGCGGTTGCTCTTGCATGCGTTACCCCCACCCTGGGCAGCGTTTCGTGGCCCCATAGGGAGCTCCACTGAAGGCCCCAATGGTTGCTCTCGCATGCGTTTCCCCCACCCTGGGCAGCGTTTCGTGGCCCCATAGGGAGCTCCACCGAAGACCCCGGCGGTTGCTCTTGCATGCGTTTCCCCCACCCTCGGCAGCGTTTCGTGGCCCCATAGGGAGCTCCACTGAAGGCCCCAATGGTTGCTCTCGCATGCATTTCCCCCACCCTGGGCGGCGTATCTATCCCCCGCTGGCGCCCCAGACGACCGCATGTTAGATATCTCCCCAGGGTGGGGTGAAACCATGTGTTTTCACGTGTCCATGCCACCCTCCGTAGCCATTTTGGCTCAAGCTGCTTCTCACACCTGACGACTGTACTGAGGCCAGAGCCTCCTGTTACTGACAGTCACGACACGTTTCCTGCGCGCTTCGTACCCGCAGGCATGGCTTCCAATCCTGTTGCTTCTTCTCAGCCAGCTGGCTCTCAAAGGGGGGCTCGTCGCAAGTCCCGTCGTCCTCAGCGTGCTGCCGCTGGTGCTTGCGAGAGGTCCCCGACGGACACCCCCAAGGGCAAGCGCACCAAGACTCGTGAGGAGGGCGACAGTGCTGACGACGATGTGCTGGTGGATGGGCTGGGGTCTGCTGGTCCTATCGACCCCTTGCAGGCCCGCGACCCCTGGGATGCTACCAACAAGCCTGGCGCTCCCGACGCCTCAGGTGGCACTGCGACCCCGGTGGCACCTGACCCCAACTCCTTTGTGTGCAGGTTCGAGCTGGAGGCACTGGTGGCGGACCTCAAGGTGAATTTCCTGTCTTCGGTCAACAACACCACGTCTGCTTTGGCTACTCAGCTTGCTGACAAAACGGCCTCGGCTCTCCGTAAGTTTGCGGCGCAGCAGAAGGCCAAGCACGAGGAGACTGATTTTCGTCTGCGTGAGCTCGCCCAGCGGCAATCGTCGTTGGAGCAAGAACACCGCAGAATGGCTGCCGAGATGGATCGGCTCAAACACATTGTCCACCAGTGCGAGCAGGCCGCTCCGCAGGCGGACTACGCCGACGTGGCGGGCTTCACTCGAGAGCCCAGCCGCACTTGTTTCGTGGCTTCAGCGAAGGCCGCGGTCTCTGCCAGCACTGTCAGGGATGCTGTTCGTCCGTGGTTGGAGGGTGCTGGTTGCAAAGATGAGCAGTGGCAGGTTGTGGGTGACTCTCCTGCTCGCCGCTATGTGGTCGCGTTCAAGGGCGCTCCTGGCCTGGCGGCGAAGCATGTCACTCACGCGCGCAAGCCGCTCGAGCTGCCCGACGGCGGCGGGTGGCGCAGGTTCGAGGCCCGCGACGCCGAGGAGCAGCCACAGGAACTCTACATCAGCCTCGGCAAGAACGGCCAGCAGATCCGCAGAGAGATCCAGTGCAAAAAGTTGTTCGAGCTCGTCAAGAGCACCAACCTTCCTGGCCGCTGGAGGGCCAATCGTTCGCAGGACGTTGTGCACCGCGCCTCGACCCCCGCGGTGCGCCTCGTCGTCCCAGACGACCCCACTCACGCGACCACGTTGGAGTGGAATCATCGTCTTACCAGTGATGCTGGCCTTGACAAAGATGCACTGCTCTCTGCGTTCAACAGTCTCTTTGGCGAGTCCGAGAAGGTCTTGTGGAGTCTTTAGTCGGCGCTTTGCTCCTTGGAAGGCTCCTTGTGAGCTAAAAGCACCGCTCTCTTTTGCGACGTGGAACTCCCGTGCTCTACTGCACCGCGACTTGCCTATCCGTCAGCACAAGCTGAGGTACTTGTCGCAGCTACTTCGACGGGGCACTATCAAGGCTCTGCAGGAAGTTCATGCGACAGAGGTTGAACTACAGCAGGAGCTTTTAAAGCTCCACATTCCTCTTCTTTCTCTTCATTTGGTCCTCAGCGGAACGCTGGTGGTGTCTCGATTGTCATTCCATGTGCGCAGAGTGGGGTTCACCAGCGTGCTCGGTTTTGGCATGAACAGCTGGTGCCTGGGAGGATACAACGGCTACGTATTTCGGGTGTCTGCGTCGATTCCCGACCAGCGGTGTCCATGGTCATCTATAATGTTCACAACTACGGCATCACGAGACAGCAGCTGCAGTCGCTTCGACAGAGAGTGGCTCGGGACGTTGCGCTTGTTAACACTGCTCCTGACAGGATTTCGATCCTCTTCATGGGTAGCTTCAACATTTATGCTGCTTTGCCCATGTATCCACGTGCTCCCGAGATCGATCGTCGCAGACCTGTCTCGGCGTTGCGCCTCATGTGCATGACGTAGTGGGTGGACAACGAGATGCCCACCCACTACGTCATGCAGGAGGGGCAGCAGCCGAAGTTGACACACATCGACCGCATCTATCTCTCGACTCAGAGCTGGGAGGCAATGCAGTGGACGATGACGGTCTCTACTCCTGACTTTCCCGAATCCCTCTTTGAGAAGGGCGTCGGCGATCATGCCCCTGTCTTACTCACGCTGGTTCCGAGGCCGGCTGCGCCTCCTGACGCGCAGCGCATTCCGTCGTTTGTTTTTTTCCTGGACCCTGACTGCGCTCGGCATGCCAAGAGCATGGCTGCTGAAGTGGATTGGCGCCCAAACGGAGGGTTACTAAGAATATTATGAAGGAGGCTGCTCGGTTGGTGCGCAATCGTTTGGTTCGCAACCCGCAGTCGACGGAGGCTCGATTACTGGTCTTTCGCTCGATGGCACGTGCGGTGCGGAGGGGCGACTCGAGGCTGGCTCAGCGTCTGCTCTCTTCTTCTGCTCTTGCTCGTGAGCACTTGCGCGTGGCAGGGGACCTGGTGGAGCTCCGCGACACTGTTGCTTTCGCCCGTGCATCCACCCTTGAGCAGCAAGCTTTCTCGGCTGAAAGGGAGGCGGCCCTCGCTCAACGCGAGGCGCGCGCAAAGCCAGACGCAGCGTCTCTTTCTTTCATCAACGCTCAACGTCGCGCGCTTCGCAGGAGGGCCTCGCTTTGGGCGCCTTTCGCACGCGCTTTGAAGCTGCAGGGCCTCCGCCTTCCTGGCGACGGCGAGGTGGTGGACTCTCAGAAGGATATGCTTGCGGAGTTGCGTCGGCACTGGGGCCTTGCGTTTCAGCGCAAACCGAGGTGCTCCAACTGGGCCCAGCTTGCTGACAAGTATCTCGCGAAGTTCGGCACGCAGTTTGACTTCTCTAAAGTGCTCCCTCCGACAGCGTCTCAGCTGATGGAGGCTGCTCGCCGCGCTCGGCCTTCTGCTCCAGGGCCTGATGGGTTACCCTGCGAGGCGCGGCGCAGGTCGCCGTTGGGGGCGCAAGCGCTGGAGGAAGTTACTCTGGACCTGGCTGCTGGCTTGCCACCACCGACGGATTGGAATGAACATCTCGTGGTGTTTCTCCCCAAGGGAAAGGAGGCTTCGGACGACACCGCAGGGGCGTTTCGTTCGGCCTCAACTACCGGAGCGCTTTCTTTGAAGAGCTCGGATTGCAAGTTAGTGGCGAGTGCGATTAATGCTAAACTCAAAAGGACGGTGGCGGCTACATCTCCTGAGGCCCAGCGGGGCTTCTTGGTCGGCAGGAACTTTCTTAATTATATCACGCTGCTTGACGCATATGCGAGGGCATGTGGTTTTCAGAGTAAATATGAGCACCCAGTCGTGGTCCTATATGATTTCGGGGATGCCTTCCCCTCGCTCGAGACCGAGTGGCTTCTCAAGTCGCTCTCTCACGCTGGGGTGGAGGGCGGCATTTTCGCGCTGCTGGCTTCTCTATATTGGCTGCCGACGCCATATGTTCAGGTTGCTGGCTTACAGCAGCACTTCCTTTGTATCACCTGTGGACCTGGCGCAAGGATGTCAGTCCAGCGGCGCGCTCTGGGCAATTGCGATGAACCATTCGTGAAGGCGATGCAGGTTTTACTTCGTCCGTGCTGCCGCTCTGCGGTTGGTGTCTGTGCCGATAATGTGGGCGCGACTCTGCAGCAGCGGGCCCTCCTGAAGGGCATGTGGCACGTCTTTCGGTCAGCTGACGTCCTGGGTGGTCTCAGGCTCAAACTGCACAAGTGCGTCACCATTCCACTGGGGGGCGAATTCTCGCCTGAGCTGGAAAAGGACATGCGACAGTGTCTGATGGCTCGCGTTCCTTCGTGGGCTGCCATGAGTGTTGCTGCCTCTGGTGAATACTTGGGTGTGCAGGTGGGCCCTGCGGCTGACGAGCACAGCATCTGGCGCAAGGCGGCGGCCAAGTGGACATTGCGAGTGCTGGAGTTGGCCAGGTCGGGCGCCCATGTGTCCACGGCTGCTGACATTTACAACAAATGCGTTCATCCTGTGCTGGGGTATCTACGGCAACTTTATCCTGCGCCGAAGGTGCCTCTGGCGAGGGAGGCGTGGGCTCTGCGCAAAATATGGCATCTACCACCGCAGTGTATGTATCGGGCCGATATCTTCGCGTTGGCCAACTGGGCTCACTTCCGCCCCATGTCAATGTTGCCTCGCGGCACTGCCACCCTGGCGAGGGCGGCGGAGCAGGCAGTGACCAATTGGCGTTCTCTCTTGGATTGGTTACGCGAAGAGGTGTGCTCGCGCGGATCATTGGCTGACATTGGGCGGGGGCATCTCTCCCCTGCTTTCTGGAGGCAACGACCAACGGTGCAGTTCCTGGACAGGGCCCGCCACAACTATGCTCAGCGGCCACCGCCTGGGGCGATTCCAGTCGACAAGACGCTCCATGGTCCTGCGATGCGGGCACGTCCCCAAGCGAATGAGGCTCGCGCCGCTGCTGCCGCCTGCGCCTCAAGAGTCAAGCTTCAGCGTGTTCTCACCTCCTCGCTCCCTGCCTCTCTGTTTTCCTGACTCTTTTCGTCTCATCATTGAGAAGCGGCTTCAGTCTTGGGAAGTTCCGCGCCCGAGGGACCCCTGGCCTCCGCTTAGGTCCTTGCTGGAGCCACTAGCCCCCTCCTGGCAGTCGGCGGTTGTGAAGACTTTTTGTTCCCGGAAAGGGCAAAGGCCCAGGGTTCTCTTTTAGTATGTAAACATGTCCCCGGTGCCCAACTTGAAGGGGGCCGGCGGAATTTTTCCCTGATAAATATCGAGGTCGAAGGAGGCCGGCGAAATTATTTTTGAGGATGTCTCGAGCGAAACGCTTGTTTTTGAGAATTTGTTGAGGATGTCTCGAGCGAGACGCTGGTTTTGCAGAGTTGGGGATGTCTCGAGCGAAACGCTTGGTTTCAGAGTTTGTTGAGGATGTCTCGAGCGACGCGCTGGTTTTGCAGAGCCGACCGCGACGCGGAAAAGCGCCCCGCGCGCAGGAATTTCGATGCTGTCTCGACTAATTCGTTTGTTTTTGTACGATTCCCTGGAATTTTGGCAGGATGTCTCGAGCGAAATGCACGACCCCACCCTAGCACGACCATACCCCAGCACGACCACACCCCAGCACGACCAGACCCCAGCACGACCCCACCCCAGCACGACCCCACCCCAGCACGACCATACCCCAGCACGACCACACCCCAGCACGACCCGACCCCAGCACGACCCTACCCCAGCAAGACCACACCCCAGCACGACCACACCCCAGCACGACCTCACCACAGCACGACCACGCCCCAGCACGACCACGCCCCAGCACGACCACGCCCCAGCACGCCACCGACCCCCCCCAGCACGACCACCCCCCAGCACGACCACCCCCCAGCACGACCACACCCCAGCACGACCACTCCCCAGCACGACCACCCCCAGCACGACCACACCCCAGCACGACCACACCCAGTCGCACCCCCGTGGAATGTTTCGTGGCGTGTCTGGTTGAGTGGTTGCCTGTTCGTGGGGTGTCTCGTGGAATGTTTCACGGGGTGTCTCGTGGAATGTTTCGTGAGGTGTCTCGTGGAATGTTTCGTGAGGTGTCTCGTGGGATGTTTCGCGGGGTGTCTCGTGGGATGTTTCGTGAGATGTCGCCCAGTTGGGTATCGTGAAAACGTGACCATGCTGCAAATGTCTTTATCCATTTCCGGGTTCGTGGGTCCATCATGTGGTTGCTGGCTCACGTCCGCGAGTTTGCACATTCCGTCGGGGGTCCGAGATTGTCTTTTCGAGTGCGGTTGCGAGCATCAGCGTGGCACTTTTCAGCACTATCTCCGCTGCCCTGTTCTTTGGTCGCAGAGCGTCGTTGGACTCGGTGTTGCTTCGGAGAATGTCGCGTCCAGAATCGGCCTGGGCGGGGCGCCGACGATTATACAGGTGGAGTCGATTCTTCTGGCTTATCATTGTTACAATTCCATGCGTGTTCGAACTCGCCCAGCTGAGGCCGAGATGAGCGCGTATCTCTATCAGATTCGGCGGGCCGCGATGGCGCTCGTCGAGGCATCTCGTGCGCTTTAGGCTCTCGTTGAGACCCCTGTGGCGCCTCTTTGTGCGTGCGACGTGTCCATGCCACCCAGGGGGGTATCTAACATGGCTGTCTGGAGCAAGGATCACGTGTTTTAACGTGTCCAGGCCACCCAGGGGTGTATCTAACGTGGAGTAAACTCGACCTGTCATATGGGGAACGCGAGTGGGGGGGTTGGGGGCTTGGACACAAATCATGCCGAGATGCGCCGGCGGGGGGTGTGCCTCGTCTGAACTCGCGCGGATGGCAAAGTCGATTTGGCGAACGCCAGTGGGAAGGTTGGGGGTCTGGAGACGGCAAATGCAGAGATGCTCTCGTCTGAAGTCGCGCGGAAAGTAATTTCGATCTGACACAGGGGAACGCGAATGGTGAGACCGGGGGTCTGGAGACGGATAACGCCGAGATGCGTCAGTGGGAGGTGCGCTTCATCTGAACTCACGCGGAAAGTAAACACACCTGACATAGGGGAACTCGAGTGGGGGGTGGGGCCTGGAGACGGATAGCGCCGAGATGCGATCGCATTTTATCGTGATGAGGTTGCGCGTTCTTGGAAAGCTCGCCGCTTTCACGCGCTTCCCGTTCATTGCAAAGTGGCGTGGGGTGGTCAGCATGCTGTATGGTGCGTGCGCCGCCTGCTCCGGCCGCACCAGGTCGGCCAGGGGCGCGACGTGCACATAATGCGCCAGTGCACGCCGCAGCACATATCGGCCAACATGTCGAGCCCCCGTCCATGCGTGCCAAAATCTAGTGCCAAGTGGCAGCGGGCGTGGTGGTCGGCAAGCTGTTGTGCGTGCGCCTGCAATGAGTTTGACTTGCTTTTCGACGAGGATCGTGGGCGAATTCACGGTGGACAGATATGCTCGCGCGCCCCCATGCCTGTTGCAATTCCAAGCAAGGTGCTCGCGGGGCCCACGTCGCGATCCGGATGTAGTCGACACGTGCACTCCTTGTTGTTCCCAACCATTATGTGGTGTTGGGTCCCCGTGTTGAAGAGACGGTCCCCGCGTTCCTCTTCTCCTCTCCTCCTCCCCCCCCCTCCTCCCCCCCTCCTTCTTCCATGCGTTTCACCCGCCCAGTACAGGGCTTCGTGGCCCCATAAGGCGCCACTGGCACCGCCCGCGTGCGTCCGCCACCACCCAGCACAGCCATTGTTCCTTGCGTTTCACCCACCCAGTGCAGCGTTTCGTGGCCCCATAGGGAACTCCACCGAAGGTTCCAGTGGCGCCGCCCGCGTGCGTCCGCCACCACCCAACATGGCCCTTGCTCCCTGCGTTTCGCCCACCCAGTACAGCGTTTCGTGGCCCCATAAGGGGGCTCCGCCGAAGGTCCAAGTGGCACTGCCCGCATGCGTCCGCCACCACCCAACCATACATCGCTTCGTGGCCCCATTGGGGCGCTCGAAGTCCCCAGTGGCACCGCCCGCATGTGTCCGCCACCACCCAGCACAGCCTTTGCTCCCTGCGTTTCACCCACCCAGTACAGCGTTTCGTGGCCCCATAGGGAGCTCCACCGAGGGTCCCATTGGCACCGCCCGCATGCGTCCGCCACCACCCAGTGCAGCGATTGCTCCCACCCAATACAGCGTTTCGTGGCCCCATAGGGAGCTCCACCGAAGGTCCCAGTGGCACCGCCCGCATGCGTCCGCCGCCACCCAACACGCCTTCGCTCTTTGCGTTTCACCCACCCAGTATAGGGTTTCGTGGCCCCATCAAAAGGGGCCCCACCGAAGGCGCCAGTCGCGCCGCCCGCATGCGTCCGCCACCGCCCACCACAGCCCTTGCTCCCTGCGTTACACCCACCCATTACAGCGTTTCGTGGCCCCATAGGGAGCTCCACCGAAGGTCCCAGTGGCACCGCCCGCATGCGTCCGCCACCACCCAGCACAGCCATTGTTCCTTGCGTTTCACCCACCCAGTACAGCGCTTCGTGGCCCCAAGGAAGCCCCACCGAAGGTCCAAGTGGCACTGCTCGCATGCGTCCGTCACCACCCAGTGCAGCCATTGTTCGTTTCGTTTCACCCATCCAGTACAGCGCTTCGTGGCCCCATAGGGGGCTCCACCGAAGGTCCCAGTGGCACCGCCCGCATGCGTCCGCCACCACCACCCAACACGGCCCTTGCTCCCTGCGTTTCACCCACCCATTACAGTGGCCCCATAGGGAGCTCCACCGAAGGCCCCATGGCTGCCGTCCGCATGCGTCCCGCACACCCATTTCGGCACACCCCTCACACGTTTCGTGGCCCCACAGGGAGCTCCACCGAAGGCCCCAGTGCTGCCGTCCGCATGCGTCCCGCACACCAGGTGTGTGGCGTGCCGACATGGGCGTCGCGGCGCGCGGGCGCTGCCGTCGGGGTTCCCAGGGAAGCCCCCTGCAGAGGCGACGCTCAGAGTCACGAGTACCGAGAGTCACGCAGACCCAAACTGTTCACAGTCGTATACATACATTTACACTGGGCGTATCCATGCACGCATTCATGCGAATAGAATCAATCGCGCGCAGATTCATTCATAATCAGACTCGCTCGCGATCCGACTCGCACGCGCTCAAGCTTTCATATTCGGACCTATCGTCTTCGTTCGTGTTGTGTACACTGCCACGCATTTCGGCACACCCCTCATACGGCTCGTGGCCCCATAGGGAGCGCCACCGAAGAAGATATTCACAATTGCGGTACTCTCAACTGCATATGGTTGGGTCCTTCGCCAGGCTAATTTTGTGTGTGTGTGTGTGTCGGTGTGTGTGCGTGTGTGTTGGTGTGTGTGTGTGTGTGTGCCCGTGCTCGTCCGGAGTAGGGAGGGGGGGGTGGCCCGACCCGTCCGCCCGCCCGACCGCGCACCCAACGCTTACTCAACAGTCTCTGTTTCCAGCAAAGCACACAGTACT